ATATTATCCTGGGGGTAGGAGCTTAATACAAGCTCTTGACCCTGTATTAGGTTTGTACCTACTCAACTAAACCTACATAAACTCAAGGTTGAGGTTGAATCTAGTTTCTTCATGTGCTGATGTCCAGCAACCAAACTCTATGTCAAGGTTTGCAAAACATTGAATCCCAGTATCCCAGTATACCCTGAGTTCAGGTTCAAGTTCAAGTTCAATGTTTGAGAATGAATGATGAACAATATACTGGAGACAATTGTAGATAAAGTAGCAGAAGAGCCTGACTGAATTCAATTCATAGTTTACAAACACGAGATACTCAGCAATTATGAAGTTTACAGAGACCTATTTCTCATGTCAACATATTATAAGTTACCAGTAACAACAAAAGGTATCACTTAAATATTTCTTTAATGTAGTCTTTCTATTCCAGAGTTTGGTTCTCATTGTACAGTCATGCTTTGGTAAAAAAAAGTCAGATGGAGAAAAATTAAAAATTCAGAAGAAAATACTTTTCTAATTCCATAGAGTCTCATCCTTTGCGGGTAACCCTGTACTTATGTCTGGGAAATCATAGTATCTTGCTGCCTTTTTACAAGAGACATATTGATAGTACAAACTAACATTTGTAAGGTTTCAGTGAAAATATAGGATTACTAGCAGTCTACTGTTAGGATTATACAGTTTGCAGTACACCTTGGATTTTACAGTTTGCAGTACACCTTGGATTATACAGTTTGCAGTACACCTTGGATTTTACAGTTTGCAGTACACCTTGGATTATACAGTTTGCAGTACACCTTGGATTATACAGTTTGCAGTACACCTTGGATTATACAGATTGCAGTACACCTTGGATTATACAGTTTGCAGTACACCTTAGATTATATAGTTTGCAGTTCACCTTGGATTATACAGTTTGCTGTACACCTTGGATTATACAGTTCGAAGTACACCTTGTATTATACAGTTTGCAGTACACCTGGTATTAAACAGTCTGCGGTACACCTTGTATTTTACAGTTTGCAGTACACCTTGGATTATACAGTTTACAGCACATCTGGTATAAACAGTTTGTAGTACACATTGGATTATACAGTTTGCAGCACACCTGGTACAAACAGTTTGCAGTACACCTTTTATTTTACATTTTGCAGTACACCTTGTATTTTACAGTTTGAAGTACACCATGTATTATACAGTTTGCAGTACACCTGGTATAAACAGTCTGCAGTGCACCTTGTATTTTACAGTTTGCAGTACACCTGGTATAATCAGTCTGCAGTGCACCTTGTATTTTACAGCTTGCAGGTCACCTGGTATAAACAGTCTGCAGTGCACCTTGTATTTTACAGCTTGCAGTACACCTGGTATAAACAGTCTGCAGTGCACCTTGTATTTTACAGTTTGCAGTACACCTGGTATAAACAGTCTGCAGTGCACCTTGTACTATACAGTTTGCAGTACACCTGGTATAAACAGTCTGCAGTACACCTTGTATTTTACAGTTTGCAGTTCACCTGGTAAAAACACCCCACATGCAGTTCACCTTGTATTTTACAGTCTGCACTACACCTTTAAATATTCGTGAATTGACCTGATTTATTTGAAGAAAAAAATACCTGATACAAAATTGTAGTACAGGGTTGAATCTATGTAAGAAAGTCACAGGAAAAATAGTTTCTAAAAGAACAGGAAATAAAACTTTGGTGAAAAGTCCCAATTTTCCGAAGTCCTAGTACAAAATGTTACTGGAAATTAAAACCTGAGTTTTAGATTATTAGGACTTTTTCCACAGGACTTTTTTAGTGCCAAAATGTAGGACTTTATTTCCGGAAATTTTTTTCAAAGAACTTGCCGGATACCGAAACTGTTCGGAATCTCAGATCGTCTTTTAAGGTTCATGCCATCATGTCATGTGTGTTTAAACGTGTAAATAAAATTGCGCATTTCCTGTTTTGTCAATACCTCTGAATACCTATCTTCAGATTTGACCCTAAGGTGAGCCTTTATATTCACACACAGTTTAAACCAGAACATACAGCCGACAAGTGCATCTCCATTTTCCAATTCAAAATAAATAGTTCAACAATACAATACAATATAATGTGTCGTTAACCCAATCCGATTGTGTCAAGGAACCCCCCCCCCCCCACCCAGCCGACCCCGCCTCCGGCGTTGCATCTCCCTCTGAGCTACTCTTGGGTTAGCTTGCATACCTTGATCTAATTCATCATATACCTTGATATTTAAAGTATATTTTAAGACAGTTTGACGACTGAACAGAACAGATTACTCGGAGAGAGACGCTACATGAACTGACTCAAGGGAGAGGGAAGGAGAAGGGGAGGGTATAGGAGGTGTGGGGGCTGGGGTTAGAAGGAGAAAGGGGCTAGAAGGGGAGTCTTTTAAAAGACAGAGAGCTTAATGAATACGTAGAAGGGTCCCAAAAGAGTGATTGTATGAGGAAAGTGTGGGAAAAAGGTTGTTAGGAAGAGAATGGGGACAAACGAAAGAAAAGAACAATAAGGTAAAGAGAAGGAAGAGATAGGACAAAACAGGAGGAATTTTTGACTAAAGAGGAGGAGGATGAAGAAGGAAGAAGGAAGAGGAGAATGGAGAAGGACGAAAGAGGAGGAGAACTGGGATGGACGAAATAGGAGGGGAATGGAAAGGATTAAAGAGAAGGAGAGGAGAAGATAGTGGAAATAACGTAAGGAAAGATGGAAGAGTGAAGATAAAGAGAAAGGGGATGAGGAAGGACAAACGAAGAGGAGGAAGGAGAAGAAAGTAAAAAAGAGGAGAATGGAGAACGCGAAAGAGGAAGAAAATTGAAAAGGATCAATTAGAAGGAGAAGATAGGAAGAAGGAAAGAGGTACAAAGGAAGAGGAAGAGCGCAGAAGGAGAATACAAGAAAAGAAAGAATAGAATGAGGAAATGCGAGAACAAAAAATGAGGAGAACGGGGAAGGAAGGAACACACAGAAGGAGAAATAGGAAGAACGAAAAAGGAGGAAAACAGATAGGACGAAAGAGAAGTGGAGGACGGGAGGGATAAAAAGGAGGAATAGAAAAAAGGAAGGAAGAGAATGGGAACAGGGGAGGTAGGAGGAAAGTAGTATGCCGGAGAAGATCCCTACAGGTTAGTAGAGTAATATGAGGACCTGCTTTTCAGTATTAAATTAAACCTAGTCCAAAACGTATTTTTCTTCTATAACAGGTTAATGCAACTTATCTCCAGTGTTAATTTTTTTAATGAACATTTCACATTTTAAGTTCTCAATTCTTAATAATTTTAGTAATAGAAATGTGCAAACATTAGTTGTTTTATTTGTTCAGCTTGAAAAACTAAAATCTCTGAATTACTCAGATTTTGATCACAAGAATATCATGCTTCGGCTTCATGAATCGGTTTAAATTTGGTATATTTCAGGCTTTGTATTGTGTAGAGGGTTGGGATGGGAAATAACCTGACTGATTAGTGGGGAGTTCAGGAGAATGGGTTTTTTTAGAGAGACGGAGATTAAGTGCGGAAGAGATGAAATTTCTGTAAAAAGGGTGATTTTCCCTCGATAAGAATAAGAAGATCTATAATATTATATTATAATTATTGACTTTTTCGAAGATAATAATACATTTTTTGTGTTAAAGCATAGACGAAAACTGTTTAATTTTGCACGGATTCTGCGGATGTGGGCCGTCTTATCTTTATATTTGTTCAGGGTGTAAAAGGGAAGTGAGTAAAGAAAACAGAATATTAAGGATGTATTGTTTACAGGGTCATGGCACTTCAAGTTGTTTAAGCTTAACAGAGAAGGAAAAAATGTTTATCTTGTGTCCAAGAATGTAAAGGATTACAAGAAATCAATTCAGAAACACGAGCTAGCTGTAAGGCTAGGGCAGTGGGTCCTGGGTTATAGGGGGTTCTGATAAAGCGAATACAAAATTTAACTCATAATAGAAAATGGTCAGAAGAGGAATTAAAGATGGTGTTTTAGGTCTAGGAGGAGAAAGGGTGGATAAGATGGGTCTAGGAGGAGAAAGGGTGGATAGGATGGGTCTAGGAGGAGAAAGGGTGGATAGGATGGGTCTTGGAAGAGAAAGGGTGGATAGAATGAGTCTATGAGGAGAAAGGATGGATAGAATAAGTCAAGGAGAAGAGAGGATGGAAATGACGGGTCTGGGAAGAGAAATGATGAATAGAATGGGTCTGGGAGGAGAAAGGATCGATTAGATGGGTCTAGGAAGAGAAAGAATTGATAGGATCGGGTCGGTCTAGGAGGAGAAAGAATGGAAAGGATGGGTCTAGGAGAAGAAATAATGGATAGGATGAGTCTAAGAGGAGAAAGGATAAATAGGATGGGTCTAGGAGGAGAAAGGATAAATAGGATGAGTCTAAGAGGAGAAAGGATAAATAGGATGGGTATAGGAGGAGAAAGAATAAATAGGATGAGTCTAAGAGAAGAAAGAATAAATAGGATGAATCTAGGAGGAGAAAGGATGAATAGGATGAATCTAGGAGGAGAAAGAATGAATAGGATGAGTCTAAGAGGAGAAAGGATAAATATGATGGGTCTAGGAGGAGAAAGGATAAATAGGATGAATCTAGGAGGAGAAAGAATGAATAGGATGGGTCTAAGAGGAGAAAGGATAAATAGGATGGGTCTAGGAGGAGAAAGGATAAATAGGATGGGTCTAGGAGGAGAAAGGATAAATAGGATGGGTCTAAGAGGAGAAAGGATAAATAGGATGGGTCTAGGAGGAGAAAGGATCAATAGGATGGGTCTAGGAGGAGAAAGGATGATTAAGATAGGTCTTGAAAAAGTGTGTATTGTTGAGAAACGAAGATATTTAATATTTAAAGGTTTCTACAGGTGGAATAGAATGGGCAGTCTCCCCAGGAATATGTATACGCTGGACCTCCAATGCCAAATTGCGCACTAGTAAGGCCTCAAGCGCTTTAAAACCAGTTGTTAAGGAATGCGCTAGTTGTGGGCGCGCTACGGCGCATTGTGGCCAGTTTCTCTCAAACCTTCAATAAGTTAATATGCCTCAAGTGGCGGACCATACAGAGTTGGCCAAAAAAGTTCAGAAAGCCTTAAATGGATTCTTTTGGGTGAGATTTCATACATTTTATTATTCAAATTCTTATTTAATTTATGTCTCATGGACGTTTCAGACAGTAAGCCTACAACAATAACATTGAATATCAATAAATCTATATATATATTTAATATATAATATATACCCATAATAAAATGATTATTTACAATTATCAATGATAATATAAAGTTATTATAAATATATATATATTTTAATCGGCTTGCTTTTTCACGGTTTATGTAGTAATCCAGTGGTTTCCTTAAATCTAAAAAAGTTGAGAAAAAAAATTTGCATTCACAAGAATTTTATTTTTCTTGCTTTATTTATAATATTTTCGGTTACGCTCATGCCGCGTTGTATTAGAAGAAAGATAGAGAGCATGCGCGTAACTTCTTTGGGCTTCTGCCTCATGGCTGCTGTGAACAAAAATTCCCTAAATCTTGAAAAGACAACATCTAGTGTTCTATCTTTATTGTTATTAATCTATGGTTGTTTTTATTGTGGAATGAAATTAAGGTGAACAAATTGCAGTGTCCAATATATAAAAAAATAATTTCTTAGATGTATGCAAGATAAACGAGGATTCAAGGTCTAAAAAATACTTATTTATTTACGTGACAACATCTGTCTAGCTTAATGCCTAGTTAAAATTGATATATATACATTATATTATCTAGATACTATAAGGGTAAAAGAAACGCACACATGTTGAAGTTGTGACATGATTATATATGCATTTTATATTTTGTATGATGTATTATGTATTTTACCTGCAAATTTATGACACCGAGGATTATAGAAAATCCGCCAAATGTTTAGTTTTACGATGTACCAGGAAAAAAACGGCTTGAAATATTTAAAGGTATAAAGTGATACTTGAAGGAGTGCTCGAATCAGTCTAAACGCCAAGCAAACTGTAAACTGAGAAACCCAAGCATCCGAACCATGTAAATTATTTCTCTAAGTGTTCAGGAATCTCCAGTCAGGCTGAAAAGGTGTAATTACATGGAAATATAATTATTTTTGGCCTTGGACCCCACCCCTTCCCCTCTTCTTAATAATTTTAGTAATAG